TAAAAAAATCAGTTTGTAGATCAGATTTTATTGAAGTATAGATGAGTTTTGTCGAATTTCAGATGTATTGCTGGTAATAATATTTTTCAAAAATGTATTACCTGTAAGTCTCCAAGTGATGTAGTTTCTGTTATTTGGTACTGTTCTTGTTTGTGATTTTGTAACGCCAGTCCACAAAGAAGGATGTTTGCCAAAATCCTCAGGCATCATTCGTTCAAAACCGTTTTTCCCCATTGATCTTAAGAATCGGTTGTATACACGATGACAGTTTAGATAATTCTAACCGGGTTTGACGCCATACATGACATCCATATGAAAGTCTCGATTTGACGCGATTTGAACATGACTCGAGTTTTCAGGTTGATCTTTTGGTTTCGTAGCAACTTGCGGTGTTGGGTGAAACTACCTCCGGTGGAGTCTATTCTATGTTCAAATTCATTTTTCCACTCTACCTAATTTGTTACAAATGATCCATACACCAAGTTATTTGAAGTGTTTAGTATTTACTAATTCCATATTCTGGATTTTGACGATGGATTCAGGATATCAGTGCTATCACTGCTTTCATTCCAATTCCAGATAATAGTTTCTGTTTTGAAAAGGTTTATCTTGAGTCCCATTTCTTGGAACACTTAATAAAGGAAATAATATAGTAATAATGAACAAAAATAATTAACATCAATGATTATTTTATACATTATTAATATTACTATGGAAACTTTTCTAACGACTTATTATAACCAGAGTTATTATAACCAGAGTTATTTTAACCAGAGTTATTTTAACCAGAGTTATTATGACCAGGATTATTATAACCAGAGTTATTTTAACCAGAGTTATTTTAACCAGAGTTATTATAATCAGAGTTATTTTAACCAGAGTTATTTTAACCAGAGTTATTATAACCAGAGTTATTATAACCAGAGTTATTTTAACCAGAGTTATTTTAACCAGAGTAATTTTAACCAGAGTTATTTTAACCAGAGTTATTATAACCAGAGTTATTATAACCAGAGTTATTATAACTCGAAACGCCCTCAACAGCTCGAATCCGCCATCCCAAGTTCACGACAGGAAATCATTCCCCATTCCTTTCGTATGCCATTGACTTCCTAGGGAATACTTCCCCGATCATTACAATATTGAAGAGGTTAACCGACATCAATGTTACATATAATCATGATATGCAATTTGTACTTTTTCTTTTCACTTACAACAAATCTCACTTAGTAACCCTCTAACTTGTACCGAGTGAATTAATGTAGAAAAAAAAAAAAGATTCCACATGCATTTAGTTTAAACTCCAATTTTAGCATCATCATCAGCATCATCATCAACCTGACTTACAAAATTTACATCTGCAAGGAACGGGGGTTCGTCACACGGAGATTAAACTTTTTCCCAACACTCTTCGCTGCATTTCCTAAAATAGCGAGTGAAAAAAAAAGCTGTCAGTTGAAAAGAAATTAAATCATGCTTGCAGATAAGCTAAAAGTTTATATATAGGCAGGAATCGTTCATTTATACATGTTTCATTAAATACGACAGACAAGGTACTACGATTAAGCTTTTTATTTAATTTTTCTTGTGTTCGAACAGGTGCTTTCTTTTTTGGACACAGAGTGTGTAAAAACTGTACAAATGTTCTGTAATTCCGAGCGCTTTCGGATATACTTTTAGCCATTATCAAGGATGATTTTATTTTTGATTTTTAACCGAGTGTATGGGTTGTGTGTATGTTTCTAGAATTATACGGATGTTCTATTTTCCGAACACAGCCAGCACATTGTGGCCGTCTTCGTAGTTAATATTATTAAGTGTTGGCTTTTTCTTTTTTTTTTTATTATTAAGGCTTCCATTATTTTTAATCTTTTTTTAACAGATGGATGAAGTTATTATGTTTGTGTTTTCTACTTTCTAATGGAGTCTGGTAAGTTTGTCTGTGTGTTTAAATCGGTTCTAATAAAGCTATAGTCAGATAGTTGTAACGTAAGGCGTCTGGATAGGCATGTAGTTGTTTAACCGATGTAATTATTTATGAATTCGGTTTGATCTAGAACACAGTTCTTTAAGGGCATTTAAATTCATAGATAATGTTCGTACAATATAGTTTTGATTTTGTAATATATATATATATATATATATATATATATATATATATATATATATATATAAAGGTAAACAATTTTGAGTCAACTCGGAATTTTCGAAATATATGGATATGACAAAAGGAAATAAAACAATTTCATTTCAGTTTTGTCTAATTGTGTTGTGTTATGAAAGAGTCTGTAGAACTTCATCAGATAATCTATTTTCCTAGCGTTGAGAGAAGTTTGTAAATGAGTCTTCTGCACAGTGGCCCTGATAATTAGCACCGCTGGTATTAAAAAAAAAAATTAATTAAACTATTAAAAAGATAATTTTACAACCAACCAGGACCGTTCCCATGCGTTCGAAAAACACCACAACTTCATCCACTTCCGATCACAAGGAAAATGGTTCTAATCTAAAAGATATTCCTCGAGTTCGGTCGCTCTGTTCCAATTAATTCCGTTCACGCTGTCTTATACCAGTTAACAAAGAACTTTCTCTGAAAGACAGTTCTTCACACAGACATTGGGGCTTTCGTTTACTTAGACTGAACTTTTTTATTTACACACGCATTAAATCCTGTTATACAAAAAAAAAACTGTATTAAGTCTACTTTCTTGCGTCCGCCCGAACAGATTTCAATTTTCTATTACAAATGGGGAACGTAAGTTCGAAATTTGCAGGTGGTGGGGGGTGCACCCATTTTTTTATTAACTTTTTAATGCATGCCGTTTAAAAAAACTGAACGTCTACCCAAATACGGATATCCACTAAAAATAACGTATGGAGTAATATATAGAGGAACTAAATTTTCAGTTCCTTCATATGAACTTGAATTCCCGACCAATGTGACCAAGATTTTCAGTTATTTCATCTGTTTGTTTTTTTTTTTCAACCACACACATGCACATAGATAGATAGATAGATAGATAGA